AATGGAGTATTTTATTAAAAATATAAAATGATTTATCTTTGTGAATAAAAACTCATAACAAAGAGGACTTAAATAAAAGATGGTCAAAGTTGATTATCTTATCACTTTTTAATTATTAGTTCAAATATGCTTGATTATCTATAGATATAGACTACTTCATTAGAATAAGTTGCTATCTTTTCAGCAAGCATATTATCAATCTTTTCCCAACTATCTAGACCTTTATTCCATCTCATTACTTAGTAGAGTGAATCATTATGCTAACCGCAACTTAAAGCGAATAGCCCCCCACCATTATTCTATCCAGCGCTGATTTGTTAAACACATAGCTAATTGAAATTTTCTAATATTCAATTTTATTTTACAAGGACTGGCTTTTCCTAGTAAACCTCTACATTTCTATAAAGCTTATTGGAATAGAATTTTGCTAAGGAGCCGAATCGTTTGTATTAATCATTACCTAGATCTTAGGTTGCAATTGCATAGATGATTCCATTGCTATCGAGAGCTGCATCTTACACTCCAGAGATACTATAATAATCGCCTAAAGTAGAATGTACATTGCATACTTCATCATCAGAAAACACTAATCTTTTTCCTTCAGCATTGACTTTGCTATTAGTTAGAATTGCATCCATTTTGCCAACTCAGATTGTATCTAATGGAGAATAAGCTCTTGGATAATAAGTCATAGTATTCTTCTTTGAAAACTTAAAGGTAAGACTTAGGGTTAAATCTTTATTAGCAAACTTATCGATAAAGTTTTAATCTGGGTATTCACGTGCAATGGTAATTTAATGAGGGACTCCAGCCAGTGATATTTAATTTTTAGCTCCAAGGAAGTCTTAGTTATCAGATTTACCAAATATTTAAGCGAAGCCAACAGCTATTAGTGCTACAATAGCAATAGTAATAATTGATTGATTTCTAATATTTTAGCCGTGAGTTTGCTTAATAAGTGGTTCGTATGGAGTAGAAATAATGTACTCTGACATTTGATTTAATTTTCCTCAATTAAATTATCAAGATCACATAAAAATATATTAATTACTAAGATTTGCGATATGATTAAGAAAATTTTATATTAGAATTTTCAATAATGTAAGCATACATTGGCAAGTTCCATAAAATTTCAAATAAGATTATTTTTAATATTTCCTTCATAAAGAGCTTATTTTTGAACATGGGGTTTTGGGGTTTTGGGG